GCACCGATTTCTATGCGACTCAATCAAGATGTGGGACCAGTGCCCCTCCCGATCCATATCCTGCTGGCGAGGCAAAAGACGTTCTAGCATTACCACTGTTACTTGATGCCTTTGCTACTGTCGCCGCTGAATCTGATCCGTCCACACGAAAACGAAAAGGGGATTTGCACTTCCTTGCAAGTGTATTTGCGAATATTAGCGTGGTACGAGATTGATACTCTTTGATGATGAAAGATTCTCAATGATTTCAAGGCACCAGCAGGCCGTAACTACCTCCTTTCCGCACAACCTGCCAACGTCTCGAACCCTAGCGAGCTAGAGTATCCCCTTGCCAAAATAATGTCGTTTACAGAACACAAGGACACCATACGCAGAGGAGGTGTTGCATCCACGCTCAAGTCGGTCTTACCTTTCAAGTATACTGTGATTCGACCTGATCTGATATGCTATAAGAAATTGTGCTTTCCACGCACCTGGCCATAAAGCAATCCTGTCGCCAGAGACGGACAAGGTCGCTGTCCCACCCTCAACAACACTCGCGCCAGGCGTTGATGCACTCCCTTATATTCTCTTGCCTCTTGCCGGTCCCGAAGAATTCGAACTTGAGGTCAGCCCCCATCGAGTGATCACACCATCGCAATCGATGCTAATGCATCTCAATACTAATCGTAGGATCAAGAAAAACTTCCAGAAGCACTCCAGTTCCTCCCGCCTACCAAGACGCGTGAGTCCGACCCAGCCCTTCGACTGATGCACGTCGAGACGCTACTTCTCCTTTGCCACACGCGCTGGGGACGCACTTATCTTCGTGAGCACGGTGTGTACGAAATCATCCGGGCTGCGCATTTGGCAGAGACTGTTGACAAAGTATGCTTCGATCGACATTGTTCTCTTGCGTTGGAAGGACTTATTTCGTTCTGTAGATATCCGAACACATCGAGAGGCTGGTGACACTGATAAAGGGCGATGAGCCATCCGATCCGAATGAGCTGGACGAGAGTGGTCCTGAGACCATTCGAGACGCGTCTGTTGGTGTTCCAGAGGGTGTTGAGAGGAGGCAGATTGCCTCTGCACCTGTCGAAGAAGATGATGAAGATAACAAGATCGAGGAAGTGTAGATGATGGCTCGTGGTATTTTGGATGTCAGAGCTGAGGGGATCTGTCGTACGACTGACTGCATCTTATTTGATTGAATGGAGATGCTTTCAAGTAATGGGTTCCTTATTCCTTGTTCCTTGGATATATTTTGAAGTTCAAATAAGGTTTATTTATGGACAGGTCAGGTCGCGCAGCCGGCGCAGGTTGAATAATGCTAATTGGCTGATGGATAATGTCGAGATATCTACCTTAGGCTGGAGCCTTCTATCAAGTATCCGAAAAGTCTTATGTTGATTTATGAGATGATTGTGCAGGACAAATACAGTAGATGATTTCACTGTCCGATAACTGAGCGCTGACACCTTCCATGGATCCAACTTGAACAAACAGATTCGTTGTTCCTTCTCCATTGTTTCTGTACTCAAATGAATGCGTCTTCTGCCAGTGTTTGGCCGCATGGCGGTTGGAGTTGAGAGCTGTGATATAACTTAATCGGTGGCTGATCATTCGACTGCACTCCTATCATCATAAGCATTCCCATTCCCACCTTCTAGTAGCACATGAGGCAGATTATGACTTTCAAGTTGACCGATCTGTCCATCCGACAATGTTAGCTGCCTCGTTGCGTATCCTCACTTGTTCTCATAACTGCAGTTCAACTGCTGCCATACACACTTTCATCCTTTGTTCTCTATCCGTTCTCTATTCTTATGTATAAAAATACGACCGCAGCACCGGGTCACCCGAAGCATGCCGTCATTAGTAAGCCACTCAAAGAAGCTTCAACTCAGTTCTCAACAATAACGACCATATGCACGTTGCCTTTGTCCTGGGCTGCGCAGCGTGGTGTCTCACGAACTTCTCCCGTTGTTCAAACTATTTTGAGTCACTAGCTTCTTCTGACTTATTGTCGTTGGACTTTAAAAGGACTGAGGAGGTTCCGTATACATGTCTCCTCAGGCTCTTCTTTCCTTTCCTTTCCTCATCTCATCTCCTTTCCCTCGATCCGCGATCGAGTTGTCTGTTTCTTCAATCCTGTGCCGACGTCTGCTCAACGCTGTACATTCTTTCGACCATCAATCCTAGACCAGTTCCTCTTTCTCCACCTGCAACAAGATCTCTTGCAAAGCGTTGAGCGCCTTCGCAACTCAAAAACTCGGATTTATTAGCACGGACCACTGCCTTGATCCAATCCACCAAAGGAGATCTTTGAGAAATGCTCTTCAGGTACTCAGTTCTTCCCCTCCTTGCCTGCATCATAAGCTCGACACTCGCTGTCCCTCACCCAATCTTTGTAAGTCGTTCAATTTCAAACTCGATATAAAGATTGCTTACATAGTCCCCTGAATATGAAGGTTCCGGACGCTGCAATAGTAAGTCACTTAAGAGGAAAAGGAAGCAACTTTGGAAACTTACGAATGCCGCAAAGTCCGATACTGACGCTGTCGCGATCAACAACACCGCTCTGACCAACAACCTCTCCGTCTGTTTCGTGCACTTCGTGCCACCTGTACCTATCTCACTCACCTGTATTCTAGTCGCCCAGCGCAACCTCGTCTGCACTCAACCCCAGCGTCTCTGTGACGCCGGCGATTATCGTCAACGGATTCACCAACGGATCCACGGTCGCAAACAACGGAAACTCCAGCGGCACAGTCAACGGCAACGGCAACACCAACGGCATAGTCAACGATAACGGTAGCATTACATCCATCGACACCAGTACCAGTACAGTGGGCGTTGGAAATAGTGCCAACACTGTCACTGTCACCGTGACCGTGGTACATTCTATCTCTTTGACATATAGCACGAGATTACTGAATGATATCCTTCTTCGAAGGCGCCGGCTTCATCCACTATCAATAGTAATCGGAATGCAAGTGGTACAAACCGCACAACTCGGGCAGCTCGGGTTAGCCAGTCTGCCGTCACCACCGCTGCAGCTGCAACGACCACCTCCGCCTGTGCAGCGAGTGCTACAACGGATACAGCTAGTGCCGCCAGTGCCACTTCAGCTGTCGGGAATACCCAATCCGACAACGCAGGAAATGTGAGTCGCCCTCCACGCTGGCAGTGTCAACGCGAAGGATTAATCTCTACAAAAGGTTAACGTGTCCAGTCGCGCCTACTATTCGAGATTCATGAAGAGACGAAATTGGTACGGTGCATAGAAGTCGAGAAGTTGAAGATCGAAAAAAATCCGATGTACTTCAGATCAGGCAGGATCTTTTGGATTTTGCCAGGCAACCGTTCGTAAGTACGGAATAAAATGAGTGGGAACGAAGCAAAGGAGCTCGGTGCAATGAGTCAGATAGTCTGAAAGGGTTTGCTCGTAGGATATAGCCTGTAAATTTGGTATCATAGCCAATTTACACTCGTACCCGCCCCAAGAATGATCAAATATACTATACACGAGACCGAAGAACACGTCAGGCGACGATCAACCTACTGCTCGCTTTTGGGCTCCGCCGTCGCCTGTTTTGTTTCTCCCTTCTTGACGATAGCCTTCTCAATGTCGGTGTGATACTGGAGCAGTTCCTGGAAAAAGCCGTGAATAGAACAGGCGCTGCGTGACGTGCATGAGGGCCTACGTTGTTGTTTGGTTCGAACGACAGTCCAAGTTTCACAGCCTCTGCTGCGTCGCGTAATCTATGGAGTCCAACCAACGCCTTTGCTTTCCTAAAGTGACCCTTGCTCCACGGTTTCCGTATTTGAAGAACAGCCTCCGCGTCTGCGAGTGCTGAGATGTGATCGTTGGCTTCAGTGAAGGCTGCAGAACGGTTGGAAACAACAGTAGAGAGCTCTTCACGCATGACCTGGTTGTTCTCCCAAGGCGGTCGATTGATGGCCAAGTTAGCGGCAGCGGAATAGCGGTTTACAGCAGCAGTGTGCAGGCCACTTTTGAATAATGACTGAGGCAGTGTATCAGCCAATGTGAGAGCAATCTCATAGGTTTTTGGGAAAACGCACGTTTCCTTCGTCTTTCGTCGTGGTCACCATTTGCGATAGCTTCTGTGTCACGACATTAGATGGTGGCGGACAGAGGAGGTTCGGGTTGTTTGCGAGCAGTATTGAAAGGCGGTTGAGGTTGACAAAGTCAATATTGCAAGCATCACATTTTTCGAGACGATGTTCAAGGCAATGAGCTGTGTTTCGGTCGTCAGAAAGTGATAGCGGAACGGGTCTGAAGTCCTCGTCGATGAGTGCCTGAAGTGCAGGGTCTGGTGTAGGCATCATGTGTGCCTGCGGGCTCTGCGGACTTTGTGGAAGCTCATGTGAGTGCGTATGGGAGTGCGTCTGGCCTGGTGCGTGCGAGTGTGAGTGCGACATGGTAGCTGGGCAGAATGATGAATGACGCGTGCCACGTCTCGTTAATCGTTTGTTTACGTATCGCCAAATACAACCGGCCCGGAGTGGCGTAGGTCTTGCAAAATTTCACTCCAAGTTATCGTGGTCTATCTTTTCTCTACTTGTCTCCACGATAACTTGGAGACAAGTAGAGAAAAGATCAAAAGATCTATGACCAGATCTGTAGTCCAGGGGGACATAGTGAAGCTCACGGAGGAACACCGTGAATCCGTGATCTGTAAGACTACATGTTGATATCTAATTTCTCAAAATTTACACTCATGGCGGAAGTGCACAAAATTCTTCCATGAAAAGAAAAAAGCCCACCGCGAGGGTCGAACTCGCAGCCTTCAGATAAATACCTTAACGTAAAAGTCTGACGCTCTGGCCGATTGAGCTAGGCGGGCGGTGAATCATGTTTCATATATGTGTATCTGTAGGAAGTGTCGCGCAATATACTTTCAGATTCACTTCCACACACATAAGCGGTCGCTTCAACCATGTAACATTGTGAAAGAAAAAAGATTCAAGGAGGTTAACCAAGAAAGAAACATAGCCCACCGCGAGGGTCGAACTCGCAGCCTTCAGATACACCTGCCCAAAGTAAGAGTCTGACGCTCTATCCGATTGAGCTAGGCGGGCAATAGGTCTCGGTTTTCATAATTGAAAGCTATGAGCGTAGCGACCCCGATACGCAGAAGTTCCAATTTCGGACCCGTGTCACCCTAACCAATACCTAATAGTCAAGCACTTCCGTATCTGAGGATTGATGCCTGCATATGCTTGCGGTAAGTATCATTGAGGAGCTTTGTGGGACTGCAAATCAAAAGATTGATCATAAGCGAACAAAATCCCTTTCCTTTCTTCAGCTCAGGCCCCACTTCATTGCTCACATCAATTACCACTAACACCTTGACTTGGATATCTACTTGACTTTCATCCTCTTGCCTCAGATCTTGCGATTTATGTAGGTACCTGAGAGAGAATGATTGATGGCCATTGGAACGATGACGAGCTAGAGATGGCAAACAAAGTGTGTTGAGTCTGCTGAATATGTCAAATCAGATATTATACAGTACTTAGATCCATTGGCCATGATTATGCTAGGCGAGTTACACCGTATATCATTCTGAATATATGGATGTGTAAAATGCGAAAAAGTTTGTCACGGATAGCCTTCCATCTCCCGTGTAGATGGATGGAATCCAGATTTCCACATAATGATGCTATTTCCTCATTGAAATGGGTTTGTGCACAGGTAATGAGCCTCAAAGACCTCGTATGTTCTTGCCAGGTACATACTAAGTACCTAAGTACCTTCCACATGACCTTACCGTCACCTACAAGCGAGAGCGGCGCAAGTACTCATACGGGACCGCCAGCGTCACACGTGGGAGACGCGGAAGTGATTTGGATTTCGTGCGAATTTCAATTGATATTGATGGGGTCACTGGAAGAGGGGACCTGACTGGGAGAGGCTTCCACATGGTACGTAGACTGCGTGCGATAGTGTAGCATTAGAGGCGGTGTGACAGCAATGTTGTGTTCTGGCTTCCTAAAACCCTAGGCTTCGATCATTATCTCTTCCTCTCGCTCTTCCCTCAACATACCCGATGTCTCCACTGTCCTCCATTTTTCGATGCCCACGATCAATGATTGCGATCTTGATCATTGTAACCATTGCCCTCCTCTCTTTCTTTTCCTGGAGCCACGGATGGTCATCAGCCAAGGACCTTGTTGTATCTTGGTCAACTCATCATGAAAAGAAACCTAATGGTGCGATCATCATTCTTCTTCCACCTTCAAGAGTGCAACAGGCTACAATGGCACTCAGGAACGTGGAAGATCGATTTAACAGTAGACTCAAATACCCGTATATCCTGTTCATGGCCGAGGGAGAATATGATGAGGTTACGGAGGTACAGAAGGAAAGGATAGCTTATATCACTGAGGGCCGAGCGAAATTCGGTGAGTCCGTTTTGGCTGACTGTTCAAGTCCACATTGACAATATTTGTCAGCTGCGGTGCCCAAATCTCAATGGGACACTCCAGATTTCCTCGATAAGTCGCTCGTCGAGTCATCGATAGAGAATATTGGGTACGCTTGGAATCCTTTTCAAGATCTGTTTCTAAGCTGACATACATGCTCAGGTTCTCACAAGGATATCGAGCGATGTGTCGATGGTACTCAGGTCAGTAATGATACATCTGATGATCTGATGAGCGTTACATACCTTATTAAACAAGGCTGCCATAACTGACTTACCTATCTTGACGTAGGTTTTTTCTGGAATCATCCAGCATCCCAATCCTATGATTGGTTATGGCGGCTCGACACAGATATCGAATTCCATTGTGACATTGTGAGTTCTTGGATCATTCATTGGAGAATCTCACACTTGTTAATATGCCCTAGTCATACGATCCCATCCAGCGTTTGATCGACCATAAGGCAGTTTATGGTACATCAATGGTCATTGCGCCACAGTCACTTTCAATGACCTGATATACAGGCTTTGTTGAGGTAGTTTACGATGGGGATTGGATTCAGCCGACGCTAGCGTCGAATGTATCTGCATTCATGGCCGAACATCGTGACGAGTTTCCACCTGATGCCAACCAAGGCTTCGTATGGCGTGGCAGTGACGGTGTGGCGAAAGCCTTGCGCGGTGAAGCAGGAAATTCGGAGTGGACGAACCACTGTATGTATGTGAGTGTTTTTTTCCTTCAACGGATCTCGTTCGCTTTACCATGTTCCTAGAACAACTTTGAGATCTCCCACCGAAGTGTATGGGAAAATTCTATCTACACGCGTTTTTTCGAGTTCCTAGACCGAGCCGGCGGTATGTCAATCTTCAATCTACGTCGTCTAATCGTTGATTTAACCATAACATTGTCCTCTCATAGGCTTCTTCTACGAACGATGGGGCGACGCTCCGGTTCATTCATTTGGACTTGCGATGACGCTTCGGAAGGACCAAGCTTTTCAATTCAAAGACATAGGGTCCATCACTTTTCTGATCTTGTGATCTACCGTTGATAACCTGTAGTCATAGCTATCAACACCAAGGTTGGGAGTATGTTTGTCCAGTGGAGTCTTCATTGTGCACGTGTGTACAGGAAAAGGAGTTCGAGAACTTCCAAGATGGTGGTGAACGGTGAGCCTGAGTAGCCTAATCTCTATCGCTCGAGCTTCCATTTCTTTCTCTGTTAAGTACCATATCTCAATGTATGTTCCTTATAGGTGGTTCAATGCTTCGCAATAGCCATAGAGATGTACGGCCTACCGACCAACCATCTATCTCGTCGTCTCGATCTGGAAATTTAACTTGAAGTTTTTAATCGTTTGAAGTTGTTTTTAAGTTTGCGGACATCCATCTTGCATCTATCATTAATTAGGCTGTTTATACCAGTATAGTACTTACAAGTTGCCTATGTAGTGCGCTGTTGTAACTTGCGACTTAGATGCAAATTCGAGTCCGATCATAGATCAATTGTTTTGCATTGTTTAGGTATCGCCTTTCTTCAACTCTCCAGATTGTCGACATTGTGGTCACCATGCAAGATGGACGTGCTCCACGGTAAAACCTATGATCAAATCTTTCTTGTCGATGATATACTGATGTTGTATTGAAAGAATAAAAAATCGCGCTCCAGCAGCGATTCAGGTAAGCAAAATGGAACAACTTGTTGATACAGTGAATTCTAACAATATTCATGTAGATTACAGCTGAACAGCTGCTTCGAGAGGTCTATATAGCGTCTACCTATGTTACGAACCGAATGAATGATTACTTTTAGGCTCAAGAGCGACAAGAATCTCAATTTCGCGCGCCAAAGCAACGAGTAGAGGACTTTGAAGAATTGCATGAATACCGTGGTCGCAAACGAAAGGAGTTTGAGGAGCGGATTAGGCGGACAAGAGGAAGCATGTACGTCAATTGATTCTTCCTATTCTACTCCTAAACTCAGGGTAAATCTAGAAAGGAATGGTTGCAGTACGCCAACTGGGAGGTATGTCTCCTTTGAACGAGTCATAATCCTCCCTTCATATCACCTCAGGCCAGTCAAAATGAATTTGCGCGGTCTCGGTCAGTTTTTGAACGTGCACTTGATGTCGACCCACGAAGTGTTCAGCTCTGGTTGAGCTACACCGAAATGGAGCTCAAATCACGAAACGTCCAGCATGCTAGGAATTTGTTCGACCGCGCCGTCACACTCCTACCGCGAGTCGACCAGCTCTGGTACAAGTATGTCTTCCTTGAGGAACTCTTGCAGAATGTTCCCGGTGCACGTCAAGTGTTCGAGCGCTGGATGCAATGGGAGCCGGATGATAAGGCGTGGCAGGCGTATATCAAGCTTGAGCAGCGGTATAATGAGCTGGACCGTGCCAGCACGATTTATGAACGTTGGATTGCGGTTAGACCTGAGCCAAGGGTATGGGTGAAGTGGGGCAAGTTCGAAGAGGAGCGAGGGAAATTGGATAAGGCTCGGGAGGTGTTTCAGACTGCGCTTGAATTCTTTGGAGACGACGAGGAGCAAATCGAGAAAGCGCAGGCCGTGTTTGGTGCGTTTGCAAAGATGGAGACCCGGTTGAAGGAATACGAACGTGCCAGGGTAATTTACAAGGTATGTGGTTCTATTACTCTCGCCTTCAACTTCAAGTCCATCTCACTTTTGCCTTAGTTTGCCCTGTCACGGATACCCCGGTCAAAATCAGCTGGACTATACGCATCATATACTAAGTTTGAAAAACAACACGGGACACGCAACACACTAGAGAACACTGTTCTTGGCAAGCGGCGGATCCAGTATGAGGATGAGCTGTCCCAAGATGGGCGCAATTATGACGTATGGTTTGACTATTCAAGATTGGAAGAAGGTGCTCTACGGGATCTCAAAGATGAGGGTGCTACACCTGAGGAAGAGGAAAGCGCGACAGCTCGTGTTCGGGAGGTTTATGAACGCGCTGTTGCGCAAGTGCCGCCTGGCGGAGAGAAACGCCATTGGAGACGATATATCTTTCTATGGTTGAATTACGCGTTGTTTGAGGAGATCGAAGCCAGGGTAAGCATTCATTGATACATTCGATCTCTGACAGCGGATTCACTTCAAATAGGATTACTTTCGTGCTCGGCAGATTTATCAGACTGCAGTCAATCTCGTTCCTCATAAGCAGTTCACATTCGCGAAGCTCTGGGTCATGTTTGCCAAGTACGAGGTTAGGCGACTTGATCTTGCCGCTGCCAGGAAGATTCTCGGGACGGCGATCGGTATGTGCCCCAAAGAGGCCCTGTTCAAGGGATATATTGAACTCGAGATTGAAGTGGGTGGTATGCATTTGAAATGTTTTTGATACTCTTATAGTTGTTTTACAGCTCCGGGAATTTGATCGTGCTCGGACGTTGTACGAAAAATACATTGAAGCATGTACCAGCCCTCTGCCTCAATCTTCTTGTCTTGCTGATCTTAATCATAGTTCGACGCCGCCAATTCTCCCGCTTGGATAAAATTCGCCGAGCTCGAGTCTCAATTACAAGACTTCGACCGCACCCGCGCCATCTTCGAACTCGGCATCTCCCAACCGTCACTCTCTATGCCCGAGCTGCTTTGGAAAGCATATATTGATTTCGAAATCGAGG